TTGGGATTTCAAAATTTTTGATCGATTCCGGATTTCAAATACAGTATTTGGATTTCGGATTCTAGGATATGGATTCTCTTACATGGGGCGATACCATCTTCTTAGAACGCGTGTCACACCCCCACCCAACCCCCCTTTTCCTCGGCTTTATTGAAAAGTGATTCCTGCATGTGCTTTTCCTATTTTGCATTTACGCAGAGACTCGTGGTTTGTCATTGTATATGCGTAAAACACTATTACGCTTCGTTGATATGTAATTAGCTATCTAAGGCCCCGTCCACACTAACGCGTTTTCGTTTGTATACGTTTTCAATAGGTGTGAAAACGTATAGATTGAACTGCGTCCACACTAGCGTATTCAAGCGTATCAGTGTGGACAGTTGAAAACACAAATACGGTCATATTGATCAAATTACATGTCTTCTGCGATAAAGAAGACTCAATAAAACCAGAAAAAAACTGCTCAAGACGCTTTCATCTGGACAGATGATGAAGTTGAACTTCTGTTAACAGTTACAAACGAATAGAAGGTTTCAAAACGTACGAAAGCGTGGATTGGGAGTCAGTCCAAAGAAAAAGCAGACATTCTCGAACGATTCAAACAACACATTCCATCGACAGAGGAAAAAAACTCCCAATCACTTTCATCTGGAAAAGACTTGCCACAAAGCAGACGATATTACTAAGAATATTTTAACTACAAAACTTAAATCTATAGGACCAAGGGGAACGATGACGTCATCGTTTTCAAAAGGAATCGTTTTCGCTGTCCACACTGACCGGGATGCCGTATCGTTTTCAAAACGCTTCACTTTCAACAGCGTTTTCAAAAGGATCCGTTTTCGATGAAAACGCTCAGCGTTTTCGAGCGTATTAGTGTGGACAGAAGGGCAAAACGCATACTTTTCGATTCGTTTTCAAACGAAAACGCTCTAGTGTGGACGGGGCTTAAATCGAATACCGAAATGCATTGTTGGTTGTTATTCCTCCTCTAAAAGGGGGTTTCACGACTTTCTAAAATAGCGCGATATGTCACGGTCGCCGACCAGGGCACTGGAGACGAAGCACTCAAATATAGAAAACTTTGATTGTATCTTGTTATAAAAAATATACCAGTATAATTTTAAACCTTTTTGACACTGCCTACATTTTTAGATGAAAGGCCTTTGAGGTCTCGTTTCCATGATTCGTCATCAGTCCCCCGATATTGTGAACTACCGCCATTTTGAAAGTCGTGCATGGGAGGTCTGAAAAATGAAAGACCTTCAATGGAAAAGAGCTTGGAATAGCCGCTTACGTAGTGTCCAAATAACAACAATGCATTTCGGTCTTTGAATATACTTTGCATCGATTAGTAATACAGCCTTTTGCAAAAATTA